CTGAAAAAAATGATGTTAAATTTTTGAGCACAGGGCTACTATTAAAAATTTCCTGGCCGTTCCTCTTTCATTATAAAAATTTGGCTCTCATCTAGATCGATAGAGAAATGCGCGGAGAATATTAATATAGGAAAGGAGCAGAAGACTTTTGCTTTTTCCTTTCTGTTAATAACTAATTAACGTTAATTTAGTCGTCTCTACTAGCTTAAAGTCCTATCTAAAAAATAACGGCATGACGAGAAAATTCAACCAATACCTCAACTGATAGAGAATTTCTCAAGCTACAATTTATTATATATAATATAGCGAAAAAAGTGTCCTGGTACCTTGTCAATAGAAATGTTTCTGGAAAGCCAGAATTCTACTCATAATTCTCAATTTTCTTCATCAGAACTCAACTTTTATGCAGTAAAAATATCATATTCGGGACCAGGATCAAAAACTGGGTCGACCGATGTGTATTTCGAAAATTTTCCCTGATTTTCATTTTTTTTATGAAAATCTTGATAATTTTTCAACGTGAAAATTTGACAAAAACTAAAGTAATCGTATAGGATGAAAATACGCATTGCTCGACCCAGTTTTTGATCTTAATACCGAACATGATATTTTTATAGCATAAAAGTTGAGTTCTGATGAAGAAAATTGAGAACTACGAGTAGAACTCTGGCTTTGCAGAAACATTTCTATTGTCAAGGTACCCCAGGACACTATTTTCTCTATATTATATAATGTCAACAGAGTACTTATGGAGGTGAGACAACAAATAGCAGATTGTCTTGGTTTCTACAAAGATTCTCTTTCGTCTCACTTGACATGGAAATGGTCGTCAAAAGCGATTGTTCACCTTTGAATATTTTTCTATTGAAAAATTCTTCTTTTTCACCATCGATTCGTTTTGATTAATATAAATTAAATGCAGCTGATTTAAATCATGTACATTTTCAATTAGTAGGTCTAATTCATTATTTTCATTAACTGATATGATTAAAAAGATTTTTATTGGTTTGCCGCTTACATCTTCATTCATATATTTTATACACTCATCTGTACTCATAAATATTTTCAGCTTATCAGCTATATACTGTAACTTTGTTTTAATTCTATCATTTATGTCCGAAGTAAGCCAGATGGCTAACAACATTTCACTATTATTTAACAAGCCATCAAATATAGATTTTTGTTGTTGAAATATTGGTGGTGGTGGTGGTGGTAAACTGATGTTATCGTTATTTGTCATTCTGAAAAACAAATACTAAATATAAGTAGATTCCATATGCTCTTTTAAGGGTACCCTCCCCTCTTCTTGGGCTTTCCGTAGAAATGCTGTAAAGTATAAAATAAAAGTCAGTAAGACTTCATATTTTCAGAGCCGATTGGTAACTCAACGAAGCACGTTTTCGTATTCGTTTCAAGTTTTTAACTATTGCCGTTCACCCGTTTTCTAGAAAACTCTGTTTTTCATTGGACCACACTGCCAACTCTACGTTATTACAAAATTAACTGACTTGGTTTTTTCCAACTTCTCATCTTTCTCTTTCGCTTGTTTATTGAAGTTTCATTGTTATAAAAGGGCATAACTGTTACTCATATGAGAATAAAATATGCAACGTGTAGTGTGGCATTAAGTTTTATATTAGCAAAGAAAGAAAAACAAAATCATTCTGATGGTCGGACGGTATATTTTCGGACTTTTAGCTAAGACGATTCTTTCCTGACTTATACGAAAAATACTGAAAACGTTTAAAAACTAAGTTTTTAAATTTTAGAAACCCTGTAACTCAGTAAAGAAAGGGCTAAACAAAAATTCCAAAAATTTACCACTGCGCTATGACCTTGAGTATCTCTGGTAAAATTTTTAACTCGATCAGATGAAATTTAAGGAGGAGTCATAGTGTCATCCAATGAAAAATCGAGTTTTCTAGAAAACTGATGAACGGCAGTAGTTAAAAACTTGAGAGGAAAACGTGCTCCATGGAGTTTCCAATCAATTATGAAAATAGGAAGTCTTAGTGGCTTTTAGTTTTTATTTCACAGCATTTCTACGGAAAACCCAAAAAGAGAGAGGTAGGGAGTATATCTTTAACACTTTCATTCTCGAACATTCGGCTTGATGAAAATATTTGATAATAGGGATTAGGTTGAAAAAGTCGAAAAACAGTTTACTCTTCGACTTTGTTGACACTGTAAGAGTTTTTCTCCTTTCCTCTTTCGTCCGATCATCGGAGTGCAATTTTTTTTTCCTTTCTTTGTTAATATAAAACTCAATGGCACATTACACGTTGCACATTTTATTCTCATATGAGTAATAGTTATATCGTTTCATAAAAATAAAATTTGAATAAACAGCGAAAGAGAAAGACAAGAATGTGGAAAAAACCAAGTTAATTAATTTTGTGATGACGTAGAGTTGGTACGTATTGAATTTAATGAATCATGACTCTCTTCAACCGATAATCGTTCTAGCTCTTGATGATGTTGTTCACTTGAAGATTCGCGTCTTGGATTAAAATTGGATGATTCCATTGTTCCAAATTCCACATCTTTAGCTGTTTCATAACCTTGCCATTTACCTTCATCATGATAGTAAACACGTTTATCCAATGTGACAGCAAATAACTGTGGTCCGTCTTTACTAATTGTTTCAAAAAATCTTACTTCTATTTCATCTGGCTCGGGACCTTGACGATCGAATTGACGTTTTAAATGACTCCACGATCTTTCTACACCCGTTACTCGTTTCATTAATTTATCTGTCCTCCTAATATATGAAAACGAACATGTGTCCATGAGTATTTCGTTTAGTTGCACACGGATAAATGAAAAACATATAAACTATATATTTAAATCAAACAAAGAAAGAAGAAGAAAAAAATGTATGCGTCAGTAAAGGAAGTAAGTCACTTTTTTTCCATTTTGGGCAATCATTCCTTATCTCTTGACTAAGGCTTCACTCATTATCGCAAGTTGCTTTTTCATCTTAGAAAAATGCGTCTTCTGGAAGAAAAAGGCTGATTTTGAGTACTGTTCGCAAGTTAAAACGTTCATCATTTCTTGTAATATAAAAAGATATTCGTTTTCTTTTGAAAACTTGAATAAAAAACAAATGATAAAACAGAAGCACGTTTTAAGCTATGAACTTAATGCTAGTCTGACTTCTTGCTTTCAAAACACATTTCATATGTTATAAATCTCGAGCTATCATTCCATAAATTAATCTGCATAACTAACAAATTACAAATTTATAAGTATTGTCTGTTTTCATTCAAAAATGGTTTAATCGAAGACCAGATGTGGTTACATTACGATCTCGAGAGTTTTGGTTGAAAAAAACAATCATTCCCACAGCTTCTACTAAAACCTGTTCTGTAGCAAATAACAGGTACAAATAAAACAGTACAGGATTATCTTTGATTCTGAAAGCTGATTTGAAAAAACCCTAAAACACAGTTTGTTACACACAAATATATTTCTAATAAAATTTACTTGGTGGTCTGCACAGAATCTGTACCCTCTGGCAGAAGAGTCTCCGCCCACACTCTATATCCTTGGCGTGATCATACCTTACACGGAGTGGCTATGTGCGGCGTGATGTGGCCCTACGTTTATCCATAGCGAAGCCACTGCAAATGTATGAACTGAATCAACCACAACGTGGGCACACGGTTGTGGTCACGCCAATTAAGATGTGACACGCGTGTTTAGCATTGTGATTTTTTTCTATACGGTTTAAAACAGATTAATTGCATATATTTTCGACAAGAACAGCTTTGAAATTTCACTTTTTTTGTTTAATAAGCTTATCTATTGCATTAAGTTCTCTTCGGTACTCCAAAGTTGTGTTATCCATGTGTATTTATTTATCGCTTGGTGAAAAACTGGTCCAGTGATCCACCTGATCATTGGCGAATATCATGTCAGAAAAGGAAGTCACATGGCATGGCGAGGTCACAAGAATTTTTGCAAGTCACGTGGCTTTACCACACACATGAGCACACCCACTGTCACATAACGTGCCCTGCCCGCGGAAAATCTACCGTGATCATGGCAAGTTTAGAGTGTGTAAGTTTACCTGGGTTATGCCCTATATTCCCATCGGGGTACATATCCCGTTTTGAATCAAAATATATCCCGACCAGGATATAGTGAAAAATCATACAATCAGGATATAAATTCGTTTCTTTTTAAATAAATTCATTAGCGAAAAAATGATGATGTTCACACGGAAAGTTTTGATAGCACGATTAGAAAGAGGAGAAAAAACTACACGAAGTTTTTTTGCTTCTCATGGTTAACCTTTTTCCCGTTAGCGATCTTTCTTTCAAACACTCAAAAATCTACTTAGGTCATATCAAAAGTAGTAAGCCACATACCTTATTTTTGAATAGAAGGCTTGAGAAAATTTTCTTTCTATATAGTCTGATAGAGAAAAGAATGCTCTATATTTTTCTATACTATTTGATCATACTTCGACTAATATTATAATAATAAAATTTCGATAAGATCTATTTTGTTTCTATGCGTCACGGTACTTTTAAAATAAGGCGGATGAGTATGTTTTGAATAACTTTTGATATATACCGGATAGAGAATTGCGGTTTTCACTGTTGGAAAAAGGAGATGAAGACGCATCGAATCATATGTCACAGGGTTTTCTAATTCATTTTTCGTAAGGTTTTCAATTGATCTTTTCAAGAACAAACCTATCTGGCAATTTGTTGACATTGAATTTTCAATCATTACGTATAGATTCAAATCACTAATCGAACATCTACAAACTGCCAAAGGCTGAGATGAATAATATGTATTCTTGTCGAGGCTCTGATATGATTTTCTAGCAATTTCTGTGAAAAAAGCTCACTTTTGTATTTTTTCCTTTTTTTTATTAAAAAAACATTTTTCTGACAGTTAGAAAATTGAATAAAAATACTTCAAAAAACAATACTAGAAAAACCTATAATACATGATTCGATGCATCTTCATCTCCTCTTTCCAATGGTGAAAACCGAAATTCTCTATCTTGGTTATACCGAAAGTTATTCAAAAACTACTCACTAGGATTCGTGTTACCCTGACACATTCGAACAAAACAGATCTTATCCAAACTTTATTATTATAATATTAGTTGAACTATGATCAAATCGTATAGAAAAATAGAGCATTCTTTTCTCTATCAGACTATATAGAAAGAAAATTTCCTCAAGCCTTCTATACGAAAATAAGGTATCTGGCTCACTACTTTTGGTATGACCTAAGTATATCCCGATCGGGATATAGCAGAAATTTCTTCTGCTGTATAAACGTTAAATATATCCCGATTGGGCTAATAACTCGATCAGGATATACATCCCAAACGGGATGTGATTCTCTACTGTCTGATGTTGTATAATACTGAGAGAAAACGTTTTCGGAGTTCGCAACTTTTGATACATCTTATAGAGAAAAGTGAACTGAGTATCATTAAATAATACATTTTTTGGGCCAACAGTACGTACGCTTATAAAAACTTACATTTCAGTCGTTTATACGGTTTTGTTACGGAGATTGTTAAACACATTTACATATATTAATGATTTAAAAAATTCTTGATAAATATTTTTCATTGAATTTTTTCTAAGAAATAATTTTGCTTACCATTTTCCATACGTGCTCTTAAATATTTACAAGTTTCACAACTACCACCATCACTACGACTTTTAATACTTTTTGTTGTCTTCTAATGATAGAAGTTGTTCTAACAGATTTTCAGCTTAATTATTAGAAAATTTAAAACCGTATTTATCCGGATTTCTAATAATATCAAATATTAGTTTAAAAAGATAGACATTTGATGATTGATTTAATTTTACGTCACTTTCTTCTTTATATTCTAAAAAAACAAAACAAAAAACAAAATGCATAAACTGTGGTTGTCTGGGGCATCCCAAAGAAATGTCCAATTATCAGCACTTAACCTGAAACACAGGTATTCGTTTACACGAAATTCTACGAGAACATCTCTCGTGCCTCATCATAATAAAACCACAAAATTGTATTTCCTCACAAAATTATTTTTTCGGAATACTGCCCATCGTTATCTGTTTGAACGTTGATATTCGTTTCCATTTTTTTTGGCACACTTACGCCAAACGTGAGAAAATAGAGTAGAATTCTGCATTGTTTTGGAAATTTTTGAAAAGAAAAAAAAATGCCAGCTGTCCTATCATGGGGATTGATTACACTGAAGTCCGATGTTGTCTTGAATACTAATGTTGTTCTTTATATCGAACTTAATGAGCCATAGTTACCTCCCAACTATTATTAACTTTGTTTACTCTAAAAGCTGGACGGCTACTCTATGAGGGAGAAGTAAATGTTAGACATAAGACTGTTATATGTGATACACCAAAAATATAGAAGATTTTAAAAGGTTAAAGATTGAAATCATAGACTAACCGAGAATATTTTGAAAATGATACACTGTTGCAATCTGTGTTAGTCACTGATTCCTAAAGGCAACACTAATTCATTAACCACCATGAAACTAGGAACCGAAGGTAAGAAATTGTATCCGCTGAAAGCTTGCAGTATGAAAAAGCTCCAGGCATGTTCTATGAGCCGTGTCTAGCCAATCTTGCTGCTAAATCTGTGTTAACGTCAGTTTAAAGTCGAACTCGAACCCGAACTTTTCGGACTTCGAACCTAGGTTCGGGTTCGTAACATCCCTAGTGATTTTTGTTGAACTTTAATAGATTTTCCAACTATATGTGCTGTGGAGAAAGTACAGGATTAGCGAATCTGTAGAATCGGCAGTAAATCTAAACAATTATCGGCGAAGACCTTGTCGATGATGAGACCTGCGCTCGAACGACGTTGAAAAGGTTGTTGTACCGACCGAGAAACATGAGTACAAATTGAAAAGCGATGATTGTTGGGTTGTTCGAAACGAGTGGAATCAGATCTGGCACAAAGAGTGAATCTCGTCGGACTTTCATTCAACTGTCTCGAAGATCAAATTCGACAAACACTTTCAGATAATTGGTTGACGGGTAACGATGACGAGCTCACGATCAACTTTCAGTGTCGTCTATGTTGATCTACAATTAGAAGAATTGTTAGTCTGAACAGAATTTGATCTTGATCGAATCTGTTCGAATTCATCACTGTCGATTGATGTTCGATTGAATAGGAGAAAAATGATTTTGTTATAGTCGATCAATGGTTTCTCTCTTGCGCTTAATCAATCAGGTCTACAAGAAGAAATCCGCTCTTTCCATGCCTCTTGAAAAGCACCAGTGGAACAAGAAAGTGTTCGATTCAATTCATCTAGCCCTTATTTCGTCAAATCACTTCCGGAAAGAAATTCTTCACAGATATCAATTCGAGCGAGAAGATCACCATCAAGATTAATGCGTGTCAACGAACGAATTCGAAATGATCGACACTGAATATGAACACCGAGACATGTCAGTTCGATTTCAACTGAAATCTGATATCATCAGAGAAACGACAATCACTGTTACACCTTCCATCTGTCGGCGTTGAGACACTGTTGATCATATCGAAACAAGTCCACTGTGAAATGTAGGTCGACATTCTTCGTCGCAAGCGATAAGATGATTTTTTTTGTTATTGTTTTTTCTTCTATACTCTCTTCTCGAGGTTCTTGTCTTTTCTGCGAGGTGGCACTGTATCTACAAGCCTTTAGTTTTTTTGTGCTTTCCTTTGTTACGAGATGTTTTCTTGGGCAAAAAATGAACTTTCAA